TTTAAAAAAAATTTGAACTTCAATTTTGGTTTAACAAGAACTAACAAAATTTGCGTTATGATTTCAGATGGCACTGTGATAATTAATGGGCTGAATATGAATATTATTTATGACCCACCGCATTTAATAAAGGGATTGAGAAATAATTTCCTTAATAAAAATATAATACTGGATGGCAAGTTATCCAAATGGAGTGATATCTTACATGTGTACGAAACAGACTGCCATCACACGGAAGCAAGACTACTGCACAAATTAAATGACCAACATGTGGTCCCAGAGAAAATAAAAAAGATGAAGGTTGGTTATTTATATAATAAATTTTGTTTCTTATGATTGATGATTGGGTGGGAACACATCATCATCATCAGCAGCTTAAACAATGCCCTCACTGCTGGGGCATAGGCCTTCCCTATGGATGGAATAGGGAGATTGGGCCATGACCCATCACATGACCCACCACCCAATTGGTGGGTGCTAACGACTGCAGACACAGCTTAACGTGCCTTCCGTAGCAAGGAATAGCTCGAGGTAGTAAATTTTTGGTGGACCAACCACTGCGAAGTTGCTTTATATAAACGATCTCAGCCGTACGCGCTAACCAATTGTGCCATCGAGATTTAAGGGGTTTGAATGGTGTTTCATATATTTTGTTACATTCCTAATGTATTGGATTGGATATTAGGCTGATGATGATTATAAGTTGAAATGGGCTAATCATTAATAAAGACAATTGCTTGTTTCAGGTTAAAAACTGTGTAAGAGTATTCAGTAAAACTGTCTCTGCAGCTTTGTTCTATACATCGAAATTTTGTAAGTAAATTTTAAAAAGCCTGTTCTTTACTGAATGCTTCTTTTTATACATCATAATTATGTGATTCCTTTCTTATTATTTATTATTATTCAAGAAAATGACCATCACAATTTATAATATTAAAACTTTTCAGCTCATTATGCAGATGGCAGTCCTGTAAGCAATACTACAAAAAACACTGCAGAGATTGTGTTGTTTTTTGACCAGCTTTTTGATAGCGTCAATGGAGCTTCTATTCTGTCCCACAAGAAAGGGAAGCCTTTACGCACTGCGGTAACGGAAAAATCACCTCATCACAAGTTTTGGCAAGACTCGATCAAAAAATTAGAAACTATTAAATATGTAGATACAGCAGGCAATGAAAAAACCGTACCCTCTTTAAAAAAAATTGTAATAACCTTAAATAGATATGTGAGGCTGTGGCAGTTTTTAAAAAATCATGAAATTAAAATAATGCGGCCTCGATATTATAACTCTGACCCAATTGAGAATTTTTTCGGTCAAGTAAGAGCTTATAATTACCGAAGTAATGATCCAAACTGCCACAGCTTTAAGTGCACCTTTAAATCTCTACTTATTACTAGGTTCATTAAATTTCATAATGAAACTTTTAATTGTGAGGATGATCCTGCTGAACAAGTTTTAAACTTAAATATGTTATTTAATGAAAATCAAAATGATGTTCAGCAGGGCCATTCCAATAATTTTGAGATTATTATTGATCAGGCCCGCCGAGAGCGCATTAATGTCCACTCGCGTGCCTATACTGCTGGTTGGGTAGTTAATAAAATATTTAATAAATTAAAAATAAAATGTGCTGGATGCAAAGTCAGTCTCACAAGCGAAAGTAGTGACATACATGAATGGATAAGCCATAGAGAATCAACTTTGCTAAAAATCGTTTAAACTACCCATCGGAAGGTGCCGTAAGGTGTTTTGGCACAGTCATAACCGAAACAAACAAATACTTGGAACAAAGTCCTCATGTTAGTAAAATATCATCAGAAATAAAACATGAGATTTTGTCCAAGTATTTGTTTGACTTCATAGACTGTGCTGAACATAAGGACATGGTTCTTGATTATTTTATATCTGTAACAGTAAAATTTTGCATTATTAACTGGTGCACTATTATCAATAAAATCTTGAAGGGCACGGATATATATCGTTTGCAGAAACGAACTGATTTGCCTGCGATGCAAAAAAAAGCTCTTGAAAAATTTAAAAAGAAATTGAAAAATAAATCTTTTAATAAATAATATGTTAGCTGTCAGCAAGGCGATCCTCTCGTTTAGTTGGGTTGGTTGGTTGTCCTTTAGTTTGGCAATACAACCCATTATTGATTGCGCGGGGACTTGGGACACCATGGTCTCGTGCCAAATGAGCACTGGTCGAGTCTCGCCACGCCTGCATCAATGACGTCATCCTCAGGGCTCTTGTCAATGTACCAGCGGTTCTATCTAGAGCCTAGTGGCATCTTACGAGATGATGGCAAGAGACCTGACGGAATGACGCTCATTCCATGGAAGCAGGGTCGTCCTCTTGTATGGGACGCTACTTGTGTACATACAGGTAGTTTCTCCCTAGCTGCAGGCGCGGCGGCGGCCTCTGCTGAGTGCTCCAAGCGGCGCAAATATTCAGCTCTCAATGAGAGTTAGATATTTGAGCGGTTTGGTGTTGAGGACTATGGGAACATAGGGTCCAAGCGCTCGTTCCTTTTTTAAGGAATTCTCTAAGAAACTCACAGAGATGACTGGTGATCAAAAGGCTGGCAGCTACCTTGGTCAACGGATCAGCCTTGCTATCCAACGAGGAAATGCTGCCAGCCTATTGGGCACCATTCCTGACGGCGTAACTGGGGGTGATATATTTTTTAAGTTTGTCTAAAAACTTAGTAGAAGTAGTTTAAAACTTTTGTAATTTAAATATTTATATGTAAATTACCAAATAAATTTATGTTGACACATCAATAATTTATTGTTTTATTTATTTTCCTCATTTATAATACTTCAAATTTTCCTATAACAAGTACGAGTAAAAAAATCCTTGATATTTTATCTGTGGAGTTGACTGGCATATTTACTACCATAACTTTGCCTTCGCTATATTTTTATAAAATAAAAAAGAAACAACGACTCAAATTTAAAAAAAATAAAAACGTCATATGACACTAAAACTAAAAGGGTAGTAATTTTTGTTCTGCAGATTGCAGTCTGTACGTAGTATCTAAATAGTCTGTGGGCTACAGCCAGCGGTTTGGCAACATCTCGGGATTTCTGTGATGCGCGTGCGATATCGGGACCAAATAAAGAAATAATAAAACAACAACAATAATCACACGCATAATTTTACATTTGGTTTCGATTTTAATATTGAATTCATGAATCTGGTATAGTCATATTTTTAAAGTAAACCTATATATAACCTTTTTACTCTCAAAAAGAATGAGCTTAATAATTATTTCTTTTATTGTTATTATGCTCTTGTAAAAATAGGTACTAGCTTTCCGTCAGCGGCTTCGCACGCGCAGAACAAAACTTTGATCCTACATTGTAACCACTCAGAGTATAAATTAGAAAATACTACCATTTTCTAAGTAGCCTAATTAATTACCAACTCCGATATTAACAACTTTAAAAAATTTAATTTTAATTTATACACATTTATCCCCATTTTAAAAAAGTTTCCTAAAATCCTTTTTAGGCAACGGCTCCTAATCATTAATTACTTTCGTGTAAAATTTCACCTTCATATTTTAGTAGTTTTCGAGATTTGTCAGTGAATAAATACTCAAGTGGTTTCGGTTCTATATACCCATCTAAAGATATATGCGTTAGCATCTAATAGTCAGTGATACAAGGCGCAGAAAATTTCCCCTCCCCAGCCAGATATTTAAGTGTGAGTGGGGACTAGTGAAGTCTGAAGATAACTGATGCGATAGAAAAGTATGCCGCTCCAGCCATTCTCACCTTGCTGGTCTGAACCCAATCCCCGTCCCCGTGGAGCCCTAAAACCTTATTCACCAACAGAATCATCCTATTAATGTCCCCACTGCTGGGGCACAGGCCTTCCCTATGAATGGAATAGGGGGATTGGGCCATGACCCACCACGCGGGCCCAGTGCGGATTAGTGGATGCTAACGACTGCAGATGCAGCCGGTACCAACGGCTAAACGTGCCTTCGGAAGCACGGAGGAGCTCGAGATAGTAAATTTTTGGTCACCCATCCAATGACCGACCACTGCGAAAGTTGCTTAACTTCAACGACCGCAGCCGAACGCGCTAACCACTTGCGCCATCGAGCTCCTCACCAAACAGAAACACAACACCAAAAGGTAGGAAGTTTTATTTTTACAGAAGACCACCCTGTAAGAAAAAGGTTACTTTTCCAGACGGGCGCTCCAATTCCACCGAGAAATCCACTATGCCCTATCTCTTTTAAAATAAATATAATATCGTTAATGATAATTTTTATATATTAAGTATTTACTTTTACCAGCGTCTATTTTACCTTTAAAAGACGTAGGGCATAGCGGATTCCCCGCTTGAATTGGAGCGCGCGTTATACTTGATTAATCACAAACCCCTTTCTAAGCAATGGTCAAAATTTAATTTGTGAGACCCTTAGGTCGCGCTGAATCGCTGCCATACTCAGAGACGCCAATTAACTTTTAATTTAAATTAAAGTGATGCTGTCACTTTCATTGTAGAAACAAAATTTCTTGATAAAACAAAATAAGACAACACGCGACTTAATGAAACATTACCTTTAATTGACGTCTTTGAGTGCAGCCGTTAATGACATATAAAATATCACTGAATTATTCAGGAGTTATGCTTCTTATAAATAAATAAGTAAGTAAGTAAGTTAAATAATCTACAGAACTCTTACTTCGTGAATAGCACGAACGATTACAACTGTTTCCAGATTTAATTATGTAGGTACATAATTGAAAAGACGACATTCATTAAATCATTTACGAATTCCAAACAAAATGTAATATCATGAGCATACATTCATCACAACACAACCGAGCTATTGCTCATTCATAAAAAGTCGAGAGCCCGCCCACTAACGAATCGTATAAAACGAGTGCATGGCAAAATCGCCTTAGAGCTGATCAGGCCCCCGTGACCGTGTTTGTACCAGTCATGAAGGACTTTTACGTGTTCACATTTTTTAGGCGCTTTGCAGACGACGGGTCGGGGCGGGCCGGTCAATTTCGCCGCGAATAATAGCACAAAGTGAATCCTATACTTCAATAACGCACACGGAGGGCAAAAAGACCGCGCCTTGGGTGCCCGGCGGGCAGTGGCGGCGCGGCATGTCCGCGGCTGCCCGCCGTGGATCAAACAAACCAGTTTATATGCAGTAACGCAGACGGCGGCGCGGGGCGGTCAGCTCAGTCCGCGCCACGAACTTTTCTATTCACTAGAACGAACGTCCCGTACTGACCGCCTCTGCCCGTCGTGTGCTTTGTGTACGCGGCGCGGGCAGCCGCAGACATCGACGGACAGACGCGGTCTTTATTGCTTCGCAGACAAAATGCCCGCCCCGCCCCGTCGTCTGCTCAACGCCTTAGGTTTCACTTCTATCGCGTGTGAACAGCACATGTCCGTTTTTTTATTATGCAGGTGAAACCTCTATTAACAGACGTTGGCGCACTTAAGGGGCACACCAACGAACGGACCTCACACCTAGCCTTTCGCACGTCTTACGGGTGCAAAACGGAGAATTCGTTAAGCAGTCCGCGCAGAAGGACTGTCTAGGCGTTCCCCTTACAGGCCCTCTCATGTAGGACAGAGCTACAAGAGAGGGCTGCTGTCACGGCACTATGCCGGGCAGCGAGGGATTCCCTCAGGCATGGGGGTAAAGGGCGGGTGCGGCCAAGGCGCGCCTTCGAATTTCCCTACCTGACTTTGATTGATATTTATCTACAAGCGTTATAAACATAAATCATTTCTTACAGAGGCATGGGCATAACAGTAAAAATGACGAGGAACGAATAAATACTTTTATTAACATTAAATGTTCAACATACAATCATGACGTATAGTAACCATAATCTCAGAGCTACACAGATTTATAAATAAGGACACAATAATTAATTATTTTCCGGCACAGTTTTGTCATGTTGTATAATTACCAAAAATTCAATCACACTTCCATAAAACAGTTTTATTTTTTTCTCCATACTTAGAATTATTATGATGTATGTACACATAAATGAATAAAAATAATGAACGCCTATACAACACGGTGCGAATTAATGAAAAGCCGCGATTGAAAAATAAACTCCACCTGTTTCAACATGTATCAGATATGGCATAGATTCAAAGGCATTTCGTACACACAATCTAATCCCAACGTTTCTGTCAACAATACAATTCATCAAAATATTAGACCTCTGGACGCACATTGACGAAACATAAACAAGTGATAAATTCACAGCAAGTTTTATAAAATTTAGATGATTTAATTATTGTAAAATTTTTTGCTGCTGTCTTTGGCCATATCAACTAAGGTTTGAGCAGGTTTAAAAGGCGCTCCATAAAGACCGTGGAATTCTTCCATTTTCTTTACCAATTTATCAGCACCAAATTGGTCGACCCATCTGAAAATAAGTTAATCATAAATAAAAATAAGTACACTGTCTACGTAAATTCATATTCATAAAGATTTAGCACAACCGTTAGAAAAATTGTAGCCAGAAGGATAAATTTGTAGCTGTTGTAAGTCGAACGCTACAACTCACCGAATGTAGGCGCTCGGCTCAGATGAAACGCTTCAATTATCATAATCCTGACTAATTTACATAATTTTGATGAATGGTAATTTTTAGAAGGTAATTTGTAGGACTACGTACGAAAATATTGAGCTCCATTGAGTGACTACAAATAAAGAAAATCCAAGCCGTTGGTGGGCCCTCCATTCTTAAGTGTTCAAAAGTTAATGTACTGCTACAAATTTGTAGTTAAAGCTAAGTTTCTTTGGCAAGCTTTAAAATTTAGCAGAAGTCAAGTCCTGTGAGTACGGGGTTAATGTATTCTACCAGTACAGAATAATAGGCTATAAGTAAGTGGGCCCTCGGTCGAAACGCGCAAAAACTTTAAATATGTTTTTTATTTATTTTTAAGAATTTAACTGTTAGATGTTTAAATCTAAAGAAAAGTTTACTAGAAAAAAAACCAGGCGGACCAGGCAGCGGACGGGACTCGAACCCGCACCCTTCGCCATCCGGGCGAATGCACTGACCATTATGCTACCACGGCCCTATTCGCCGCGTCGAAATTTTCCTAGCCCTAAGCTGCAAGGCAGCGCCATCTCTTCGCATTGTAGGTAATCCACATTGTCAAATGAATACTTTTTCAAGTATAAAATACAATATATAAACATTTAAACATTTGAAAGAAGAAATAGCAATTATAGTTATGTTTTTTATTTATTTTTAAGCATTTAACTGCTAGATGTTTAAATCTAAAGAAAAGTTTACTAGAAAAAAATCCACGCGGACCAGGCAGCGGACGGGACTCGAACCCGCATCCTTCGCTATCCGGGCGAATGCACTGACCATTATGCTACCACGGCCCTATTCGCCGCGTCGAAATTTTCCTAGCCTTAAGCTGCAAGGCAGCGCCATCTCTTCGCATTGTAGGTAATCCACAATGTGAAATGAATACTTTTTCAAGTATTAAACATTAGAAAGAAGAAATAGCAATTATAGTTATGTTTTTTATTTATTTTTAAGTATTTAACTGCTAGATGTTAAAATCTAAAGAAAAGTTTACTAGAAAAAAATCCACGCGGACCAGGCAGCGGATGGGACTCGAACCCGCACCCTTCGCTATCCGGCGAATGCACTGACCATTATGCTACCACGGCCCTATTCGCCGCGTCGAAATTTTCCTAGCCTTAAGCTGCAAGGCAGCGCCATCTCTTCGCATTGTAGGTAATCCACAATGTCAAATGAATACTTTTTCAAATATTAAACATTTGAAAGAAGAAATAGCAATTATAGTTATGTTTTTTATTTATTTTTAAGCATTTAACTGCTAGATGTTTAAATCTAAAGAAAAGTTTACTAGAAAAAAAAATGTGGATTACCTACAATGCGAAGAGATGGCGCTGCCTTGCAGCTTAGGGCTAGGAAAATTTCGACGCGGCGAATAGGGCCGTGGTAGCGTAATGGTCAGTGCATTCGCCCGGATAGCGAAGGGTGCGGGTTCGAGTCCCGTCCGCTGCCTGGTCCGCGTGGATTTTTTTCTAGTAAACTTTTCTTTAGATTTAAACATCTAGCAGTTAAATGCTTAAAAATAAATAAAAAACATAACTATAATTGCTATTCCTTCTTTCAAATGTTTAATACTTGAAAAAGTATTCATTTGACATTGTGGATTACCTACAATGCGAAGAGATAGCGCTGCCTTGCAGCTTAAGGCTAGGAAAATTTCGACGCGGCGAATAGGGCCGTGGTAGCATAATGGTCAGTGCATTCGCCCGGATAGCGAAGGGTGCGAGTTCGAGTCCCGTCCGCTGCCTGGTCCGCGTGGATTTTTTTCTAGTAAACTTTTCTTTAACTTTAAATATTATTAAAAGCAATAATATTTTAATTCGATCATAAACTACAAAATTTCTGCTAAAAATGCATCAACTATTTTCATTTTGTAATGATTTTGGGCTGAGATATTTAGTTTATAGCTTGCCAAAGAAACTTAGCTTTATCTACAAATTTGTAACTGTAGAGTAAATTTTGAACAAGTAAGAACTGAGAGCCCACCAACTGATTGGATTATCTTTTTTTGTAGACATTCAACAGAGCTCAATTTTTTTGTACGTAGTGCTACAAATTACCATATAAACATTACCATTAATCAAAATTGTTTTAATTGGTCAGATAAAGTTAATATGAAAATTGATTTAGCGTTCGACTTACAACAGCCACAAATTTATCCTTCTAGCTTAATTTTTTTAAGGTCTTGCTAAATCTTTATGTATACAAAACCTAAGTTTTCCACTGTGGCCTCTCAGAGGGCACGCACAGTCCAAGTTACGCAAAACTGACGAATATCTCAAACTGATTTCGAGCTTTCTAAACGATTCCTAATCTAATTAATTAATTATTAACATTATATTTTTGTAAGACCATTTAAAATAATAAAGAGTTTTACCAACAAATAAAACTTACCTATTATTTTTTCTCCAATATCCGGAATCCATCTTGAGTCAAGCACCTGTCTTTCTACCGTTTAAATCAGCGTTTCCGGTTCCTCTCCGATTGTGGCGCCCTCTATGTTGTGACTCGGAACTTACTTTGCCGCGCACCGGGTGATGTCCGCCATTATAGGTCTCATGATGCGCCCAGGTAGCACTTACCTGGATTCCGGATATTGAAGAAAAAATAATAGGTAAGTTTTAATTTGTTGGTAAAACTCTCTATTATTTGTTTCGTATCAATATCCGGAATCCATCTTGAGTGATTTGTTTGTTATCACCTGGTGCGAGAGGCTATAAACGCTATAATGTGTAGATGCAGATTAAAATAAAACAGGTATGATGTGAAAAGAAAAAACATATCAACTTTTGTATAAGTATTCATCATGTTTTTATGTAACAACATAAATAATTAACAACAACTAATTCACTTCGCGGCTTCAAAATAATTGGATAATGACACAGATTTCTGAGGATCAAGAGAATCACGATTTTTTAGTTCCCTTTTATAGTAATTTTTGAAAGTATGAATCATTTTCCAATTTCCAGTTTCAAGTATTTGATCTATGGGAAAATTTTCTATAAAATTAAGGGACGCCACAGCTGAACGCACAGACCCTGGAGTAGCTTCGATACCACTTTCTTTCAAAAGCGATTTTACCCAACCGCCTATCACTGTTCTGGATGCAGGCTTTATTTCACCTCTAGCAGTGATAAACAAACTATCAAAATTTTTACGACATTCTTGAGAAATTTTTAGTAATTGTTGAATCCAAAATACAGAATTTAATTTATGGATAGAATGCTGTTTAAGCCTCCATCCAGACTGTCTATGTTCGGAAGTGTCGGTTTTTGAACCAAAGGCAGGCCATAGTAAAATGCTTCTATCATTAATTATTAAATTGTTAACACCTATGCGTAGCAATGTAAGATCGTGAACTCTACGTCCAGAGGCTAGTAATAACAATGTGGCAGTGTGCCTTGAAACATGATATAGATTATTTTCATCAAAACTATATGAACATAGGTAATCTATCAACAGTTTAGGATTCCAAATAGGTGGTTTAACTGGTTTCTCTCTTGCTGCTGATATGGCCTTCACCATATGTTTTACAAAGAAGTTAGAAGATAAATCTATTCTAGAGGTTAAATGTGTAAAGGTGGCAATCACAGATTTATGAACTAAAATGGTTCTATAAGCTAGACCAATGTCACAATGTAAGTGTGCTAAATAACGAGCGACCTGGTCTGCAGTTGGGTATTTGTAATCTACTGAATGAGCCTCACACCAGTTTTTCCATCGTCTCCACGCCGGTCTATAGGTGTTGAGGGTAGAGCCTCGCCAACTCGACATTAGCAGGGCTTGTTCTTCAGCAGTCCACTCTGTCAGCATGTCTTGCCACCCAAAATCAGCCATGCCTCCAATTGCAGGTCCTGTACTTCTGGTGGGTGGGTGCCCGTCCTCGTGTCTAAAAGGACTTGCGCTAGGTCTGGAATCAGAAAGGGAGGTTGTAGTGCCCGTCGTTGAACATCGGCTCGCCAATACACTTTGTTCCAATTCGGTGCGATTAAGATATATTGACCGCTGGCTTGGTTCAGGTGGCTGAGGACTCTGGGGATGAGATTCGGCGGAGGGAACAGCCACGCTAAGTGGTAATGCCACTGGTGACGGAAGGCGTTGTGATATTCCGCTTCCTGATCGCTCAAATCTATCGACACGTACCTCGATGCTACATGTGCTGTTCTGGAGGCAAACAGATCTATCTCCGGCGTGCCCCACATTTGAAAAAGTCTCATTGTAGCTGTTTCTAACAGGTGCCATTCGGGTTGGACTTTTCGGCGAGACAAGGCGTCGACTTCCGTGTTGAATCTGCCTGGGAAATACTGAGCTACTATATGTATATTCAAATTGTCTAGAGTCTGAATCAGAAGCTGTGTTTGTTTTAAAAGTTTCCTTGATTTTGTACCGCCTTCTTTGTTTATGTAAGACACTACCGTTTTGTTGTCTGTCTGGAGAAGCACTTGAGCATCTTGAAGCTGAAGGGCTTGATGCTGGATCGCTGCATGAACAGCAAACATTTCTTTTTGGTTTGCGTGCCACGTAAGCTGTTGTGGTGCCCAATTCCCCTCGATACTTAAGTCGTCTAACTGCGCACCCCATCCTATGTCGGATGCGTCCGTCGTTAACAAATGGGTTATCGCTTTTGGATGTACAGGTGTGAAACTTCCTATCGCTTTGTACCACCATTCCATCTCCTGTCGGACTTCCTGTGGAATGCTTATCTGACGAAACGGGTATTTTTGGGTAATTGACGACTGAAGTATTGCATGGTGCGACAATGAAGCCGTCCCCTTCTGGTTACAAATGAGGCAAAGTTGAGTCTCCCCATCAAGGTCTGGTATTGTCTGAGAGACCATTTGCCCTTCACAAGTTGCTGTCGAAGTGCTTTGCGTAGCGATAGGCACTTCTGCTCCGACAGGGACTTTGCGTTGCGTTTTGTGTCCCATGTGATGCCGAGGAACTCGAGGCATTGAGTCGGAGCTAAGACAGACTTGTCGTAGTTGACCACCCATCCGAGCGTTTGCATGGTTCTTACCGTGTACGCTATGTCCTCCTGCAATTGCTGCTGGGATTGATTTGCCAGAAGGAAATCGTCCAAATAAACCACGCACCTTATTCCATGACTCCGCAGGAATTCTGCCACCCAGTTGGTGATTGAAGCAAACGTTTTCGGCGCCGATGAAAGGCCAAACGGTAAACATGTCATTTGCAGCAGTTGGTGCTGATGAGGATTGTGATGATAGTTGAGTCTCAGGAATCTGCGATGCTGTTGAGCGATTGGCACGTGAAAGTACGCTTGGCTTAGGTCTAGTTTCGCAAGCCAGTCCTGATCCTGCAGAAAATCCGGTACACGGAAATGATTGAAGAGTCGAAATGGTTTTGCAAGTACGAACTGATTTAACCTTCTGAGGTTGAAGATAGGTCGAAAGGTTCTGTCCGACTTGGTTACTAGAAAGAACGTTGACAAGTAGCTGGGACTCACTTCCGCTTCTTCTAAGACGCCTGCTTCTAACATGGATTGGATCTGTGTAGACATCTGGTAAGAAGTTTTGGTTCTGTAACATTTCATAACTGTTAAGCTCGGAAATATTAGCGGCGGCCTCAGTATGAAAGGTATGCGAACACCGTTTAATAGCTGACAATTTTTTTCTGGTGCTCCTAAGTTGCTCCAAGCATACTGAAATCGAAAGAGACAGCCGCCTCGAAAGCGCTTCGAGTCATTCGTGACGTCTATCTTTAAAGGAAGGTCGGTTTTGATGTTTCTTGACCTTTTGCTTGTCGCCAGTGCTAGGTTTGTTTCTTGACTGGCGGGTTGGACGAGGCGCATGTTTACCTCTCTTTGCGGAATAATTCCCACGAAAAAACGTATCGTCATTCTGCTTGCTGGTCGATGGTTTAGGATTCTGGTAAACTGAATCCTTTGCTTGGACCCTAACAGTTGGTTTTGGGGACGAAAACTTCTCAATCCCCCCCCATTTTGTGAAGGTAGCTATGAAGTAACTCTTCATCAAAAAGTGACGTTGAACTAGGTGGGATTTTGTAAATAACATCACGGTGATACTCCTCGGATATGTGACGTAACAAGGTATCCCGACGAGTAGAAATAAGATCCGCTCGCCTTCCGCAAACTATTTGTAACAAGTCATCGGTCACTTTACTAAACGCGGATTCTTTCGAAAACGTTGTTTGAATTTTTTCAAATATCGAATCAGGCGTTAATGCCTCTTTAGAACTGTATGTCCAATCGACTAGCGTTTGTAATGATCTTTGTAATTCTTCTTTTTGAGTAAGCAAGGCATTAGTCAAACCAGCAAATGACCGCTCTAATAAATATGAACGTGGGTCGTCCTTTAACATTTGACTTTCGAAACGCTTAAGTTCATCATTAACACTTAGTTCAACGAAACCGGGGGTAGTCAAATATTTCTTTTGAGCATCGGTAAAACGAATAGCATACCAATCATCACACTTAAAATGCTGTAATTCAGCCAATTTTTTCAAGAAACCTTCATTTGACTTTGGATAAACAGGATCTTTTATAGTAGTACTCACATCCGATAAAATGTTAAGCTTATAATTATTGTCCGACTCGGGGCGTCGTAAAATAACTTCATTTGAAGTAACGACTGAATTTTCTACATTTGAAACCGATTTATTAAGTGTATGTGGAATAGCAGTTGAATTTTCAATATTTGAATTCAATTGTTTATTTTCTATGTTTGCAGTTATAAGATTTGTCAAAACAGAAACTTGTTGTGATAAAAATGCAAAATGTGCGTAACTCACAGTTGGCGAATCTTTCCTTGCCTTATTACTCGAAGGGCCCGAGCTATCGCTCGTTGATGATTTGCTATCTTCACTGCCAGAACCCGTTGATGGAGAACGCACTCGTTTCCGGGGGTTAGATTTTTCAGCAACACTTTCTGAAAACGCTTTTTCACTTTCCCTATCTTGGTTCTCCATTATAAATATAGGAGAAGAAACCGAGTTATTTAAATAACGATAATAAATTAACACTTTTTCGCGTGAATTTTATCGAAATTCTATGCTGACTTGTATACGGCGCGAAAAACAACGCTATAATGGCGGACATCACCCGGTGCGCGGCAAAGTAAGTTCCGAGTCACGACATAGAGGGCGCCACAATCGGAGAGGAACCGGAAACGCTGATTTAAACGGTAGAAAGACAGGTGCTTGACTCAAGATGGATTCCGGATATTGATACGAAACAAATAATGGTCTATATAAAAGAAAAAACTTCATGTGTGGCTGTCTGTACCACTTGTTGGAAAATGCAATGCTTTCTGTCTAATACAGGCAGTCCTCGTACTTACGGCATGTTAGATTCTCGAAATACGCGATGTGAGTCGAAACGACGTAAGTCGCGACATCCCCACAGACGCCGGCCCCACGGACATTGACCTCGCGAGAAGTGAATACTCCTATGCCGGAATTCGAAACAATTGACGTATGTTTGAGCAATAGTGTCAAAACATAGTTCGACGTAAATCGAAACGACGAAAGTCGAGGACTGCCTGTACTACCATGTTTTTTTTATAGATAGGTCCGATAAATGACTCCACCCCACCTGATGTTAAGTGACGAGGTTGAAGTCCAGGTATATAGTATATAATTTATAGGTATTAGTGTACATTGGAATTGTTATACCTATGTATGATGCAATCAGAATAAATTTTGGTTATAGTGTTATAAAAACATTACCTTATTGACACTTTAAAATGTAAATAAGGTGATATGATACGAAATAAAATGCTACCTGAAGGGTCCACCAGTGAATGGCGGGAAACCAAGGCCAAACACAGCGCCGACGTCACCTTCTAATGGATTATGTAAAATTTTCTCCTCCAATGATAATACTGCTTCATTAACGAATCTGGAAATGAAATAATTTTCGTATGTCGTATAAACGTTTTTAACCAAGATTTTCATGATAAGTTGACGTCACACAGGAGAGGTCGGGTGTACTCCGTAATATATACCAGTATACTGGCCGGTGCTAATGACATCATGAATCGACGCTATACAAACGTTTTTAACCAAGATTTTCATGATAAGTTGACGTCACACAGGAGAGGTCGGGTGTACTCCGTTATATATACCAGTATACTGGCCGGTGCTAATGACATCATGAATCGACGCTATACTGGTGAATTGTTCCGAAATATAGTGGCCAGTGCACTGACGTCATAAATGGACGAAATATTAAAAATAGTGCGAATAACGAAGATTTTTTATTCACCTCATCAATTAAAAGGAATTCTTTTTGCTCGGATGGCATTATAGTTTTAGTAAAAAAAGAAATAAAATTCGAATGCATCTCAAGCACACTCGGCCATACGTAATATTCGTTTTCCCGGTAAAAATATGGTAGTATACCAGTACGATATGGCGTCGGATTCGTGACGTCATTACCACTGGCCAGTTAAATGATGCATATTTCAGAATACACCCGTCATCGAACCGAGCGTTTTGGCGGTAAATTCAAAACCACTAAAAAAACAACTTTAATTGGTTAAATGGAGAAAAAAAAATACATTAATAACTTTATTTTTATTTTTTTTGTTAAATCGTTTGTCCCAATCTTTGAATATAAAGAGTTTTCAAAAATTTGGAAAATACCCTATTCATTCCACAGTCGAGGTTACCATTTCTTATGTCCCAGGTAATTTTTTTTGTTCAATAAAGTATCAATGGTCATGATTTTGGAAGTCTCTTGTTTCTATTTTCCTTTCCTTTTTTTATTGATACTTGCATGTTATTATTGGATACTTTTTGTAAAGCTATTGTTTGAACAGGTCTCACTATTCCTGTTGCGATTTTATACCCCGACTATTCTCATTCGAGAATACACTTGTTTATTTCATTAATTCTCAACTTGATATTTACACGGCACATTTGATTTATTGGTTTTTGATTTACAAAACATTTTATTTTACAGAAAATGAAATATTGATAATCTGTGATTGCATGTGTTCAAAACAGTAGTCAACTGAACTGCGTCAAATATTATTCAAATTCGGTATTTTCTTCAAACAAAAAAGTTTCAATAAGTTCGGTTTGCCATTATAAATACAGTGATAAAATATACTTAAATAATTTTATTTGTACTAAAAAAAAAGGAATTTGTTTTTCTGTAGGGTGTCGATTTTTATTTTTGAATAATGAGAAATTCTATAGGAGAACTTTAATCTCACTATTACCATTCGTCGTTTCGTAATTCAATGGGAATAGTGAGACTGATTTGAAAAAAGTGCAGTCTCAGTATTACCACTGCAATGGGTAATGGGAAAAGTGAGATTCACCCGTTTGGACCAGTATTATTGTTTTTAATTTAAAATAAACATAATTATGTTTATATTTTTTAAGCATTTAACTGCTAGATGTTTAGGTCTAAAGTAAAGTATACTAGAAAAAAATCCACGCGGACCAGGCAGCAGAAGGGATTCGAACCCGCACCCTTCGCTATCTGGGCGAATGCACTGACCATTATGTTACCGCGGCCCTGACGGCCGTGTCGAATTTTCTCTAGCCTTGGGGTGTTGTGGAAGGGCGCGGGTTCGAGTTCCGTCTGCTGCCTGGTCAGATGGATTTTTTTCTAATATACTTTTCTTTAAAATAAACATTTTAAATTTACCTAGACACCATTCTTAATTGTTGGTCCTCCACTGTGTTGGCGCCTCGGGGTTCCAAAGAATATCTGTCTTTAAGGAGTTGGATCACGTCTTGGTTTACATCCCTGTTTTTGGTGCCTTTCTCGTAAACGTAGAAGCCTTTACCCGACTTCCTACCCATGAAGCCAGCCTTTACCAAATCCTGCATTATGTTCAGATCGCCTCCACCAATGCGATCTCCAAATGCCTAAGATAGAAAGAAAGTAGTTAAAATAATATTATAAAGAGTTTTGTTTTGTTTAGTTTGTCAGTGTAAGAAATATAGATATTACCAAAGATTTTAAAATGTTACACACAAAGCTGGTATATTAAACAGTCTCTTTAATTTTAGGACTGCCATAGCCTATATTTTTGACGCCAGACAATAAATGTTTAAAACCCCAGATATTTGGGTGAGATTTTTCCAGTGTCCTCACAAAAATAACCGTTAAAATATACACATAATCACGGAATTAAATTATATTTCACATGTTACGCAATTTTTTTTCAATCAATAATCAATTATGTGAGTATGCAATGAATGTAAGTAAAGTACCTTTGCTAAGTCCGCAGCAATATGGGAGCCCACATCGATACCGACTTCATCGGCCAAAGTGGCAGCGCCGACTGGGAAACCGAACTGTTTCGTCATGTTGTCCAGCTCTTTTGGATCAACACCCTCCTGCAGCAACCTGCCAAACATTCGTTAATTAATACCAGTAAAGAACTCGATCGTGGAAGCAAAAAAATTTCTGCACTGGCAAATCATTGGTGGGGAAAAATTTTCAATCTCGACTCGAGCTGCTATGTGCTTTGAAAGCACGTTAAATGGTCAGTCCCGGCTGCATCTACAGCCTTAAGTATGGTATGTCATGCATGGCCATGACCATTTTTTCTCTATACCAAACTATGACTTTTGATTAACGTGCTGTAATTAAAAATTTATTTTATTTATGCAGTATTTTTTTTCTTTGATATTAATTCAAGTTATCGCGGGCTCGAACTAACTCGTGGACGCGGCCAAAAAGCACGCTGTCTCACTTAGCATTGTGTCTAAAAGATATATAATCAGTTATGAGCAGTTAGCAGCTAGTCTACACGCATAGGTCTAGTCGTACTCACACAAACACCGTGGCGAAGTCTGCCGAACTGAAACGACGTTAGATGATGCACGGCTTTGAACGTTTCAACGCCGCACCGCTGTGCCGGTCGGAGTGGGGGGTGTTAGGTTTATTTTCGTTACGGGATTTCTTGATTCGGTCGCCGCGCTCAAAGCCCGCGATAAAAGCTATGCAATAGCTTAAAAATCGCAACAGTATGCTATGAGTTGGTAATAAGGCTCATTATAAAACTAAAATTGGCATTATAAGAAACGGATTACGAACAATTGTGTAGAAAATAACTGTTACCTGATACCATGGTGGATAGGATACGCGTGGTATAGAATTCCGGTCTATCACCTACTGTGATGACCACTTTTCCTTGCCTCACACCAAACATGAATATAAACTACTCAAAACAAAATAGGGCCCACCCCGTTTTCCAGCTATAATTTATTTTGCCTTTAACTTAAGTGTATTTTTTTAATTGAGGTGTTTATAATTGGCGTTTGGAAATTGTGTAAACATAAACAACAGTGAAAATTAAAAGTTTTATGTGAATTACACAGTAATAAGGGTTTTTAAGAAAATTAACACAAATTAACTAAGAAAGTAAAGTTTGAATATTAACAATATTTTCAAACAAATTTATGAAAATTGTCTGTTTTAGTAGCGAGTCGGACCTCCTCTGGTACGTAAGCACTCTCTTAGTCTATCTGGAACGTTTTCGATTAAATAGGTAACGTTTTCAGTCGGTATTTGCTCCCAACAGACTTTAAGGGCTTTTATGAGGTCTTGTCGGCTATTCACATGACTGAAATTTGACTTAAGGCTTCTTTTTAAATGATCCCATAAATGTTCAATAGGATTGAGGTCGAGACTCGTGGCTGGCCACGGTAGTACCGTAATATTGGCTTCTGAAAGTGCTCTCTGAGTGATAACAGCCGTATGCGCGCGGGCATTATCTTGCATGAAGACGAAGTTTTCACCGATTCTTTGCCTAAATGGGATTACATGAGGTTGGATTACACGCTCGATGTAACTGGCAGCAGTAACGGTGCCTTCTTCCAGAAATACCAGCCCAGTTTTGCCCATTAAACTAATTCCACCCCACACCATTACACTTGGACCCCCGAAACGATCTGTTCCGTGAATGCAGGCTTCTGAAAAACGTTCGCCTTCTTTTCTCCACACGCGGACTCGACGATCGTCACTAAAAAACTTCACTTTAGACTCGTCTGTAAACAGTACTGTCCTCCAGTTATCTATGGTCCAATTTAAGTGTTCGCGAGCAAATCTTAACCGTGCTGCACGATGTGCCCTTGTCAACTTGAGCCGGATTACTCGCATTCTGGATCGTTGGCCATCCTCATGAAGTCTATTCCAAATGGTTTGATCACTTACTCGTGTGCCAGTAGATTGGCATAAACGATTTTGTAAGGTCCGAGCGGTTATTGTACGCTCTCGACGTGCAGTCAATCGGATATAACGGTCTTCCTTGTCGGTGTTAGCTCGAGTTCTTCCTGTTCCCGCTCTTCTAGCAACACTACCAGTCTCTTGGTAGCGTTCCCACAGGTTACGGATAGCGCGTCGTGACACACCAACTCGTATTGTCACTGATCTCTGTGAATGTCCTTTCTGAAGCATAGCCACCGCTCTTGAAGCTGTTTCCATATCCATATGACGGCGAGAACCAGGCATAATGATCACAAATAACGTAGAAAATAAAACAAAATGAATAAAACAACAAGGTGCAACAGGAAAAGTCAGACTGTGACTGAGAACACAAGTGATTGGGAATTTTAAAATTGGACGTTTATTAGGGCCCTTCACTTTTTTGTTTGCTCACTTAAGAGTAACATTTAACTTGTTGCTTGAAACATTGATAAAGATTCGTAAACATGTCAACAATATGTTAAAATGCTTCAACTCGCCAATAATTACCCCATATATTTTTTTTAGACAATATACTGGATTATTTATGGGTGGGCCCTATTTTGTTTTGAGTAGTTTATAACTGATCATAATCAAATACCGATGATAAACATTTGGGAGGAACAGGCCTTCGCTAATGGGGACACCCTACTGATTACTATTTATACGTTACCTGACAGCTTCGCTTAGCATGGTGGATAGGATACGCGTGGTATAGAATCCCGGTCCGTCTCCTACTGAGATGAGCACTTTTCCTTGCCTCACACCAAACATGAATATATAACTGATCATAATCAAATACCGATGATAAACATTTGGGAGGAACAGGCCTTCGCTAATGGGGACACCCTACTGATTACTATTATACGTTACCTGACAGCTTCGCTCAGCATGGTGGATAGGATGCGCGTGGTATAGAATCCCGGACCGTCTCCTACTGTGATGACCACTTTGCCTTGTTTCAGGCCCACCGCCACTGCGGCTGCGGCGGTGTCGTCGCTGGTGCCAGGATGACGGATTATCTCCAACAGTTGCATTTTGTCCACGGGAGAGAAGTAGTGCATACCTTTACGGATAAATGAAAAAGTATTTTTGAAAGGTACGTGCGGGGCACGCAAATCTCAAATTATTCACAACACAGATTTTTTTAAGATTTCATATTTAAATTTATAGAAGATCACTTAAAATGCGAAAGACATAAAAATCGTGACAGAAAAATTACATGTACTATGTATCAGATGAATAGGCAAAAAATTAATTTTATATTATTATTGGCGGTATGTCGGTAACTAACATTTTCCGCAAGTAGCCGTCGTCAACAGGTGAAAATTTCGAAACACTGATATGTTGCTAAAGAAGTTTTACGACTAGGGCACACAATACTGTGAAATGACGTGATGCGAATTAAGAATGAGAAAACAGTGACACGAATTGCCTTGATTTTATGCGGTAAAACGTCTCCCTTCCACGGTTCGGGAGTCCAGATTCTGTCGACTTCGCAAACCTTACCGAACTTAATTTGTACTGGGTAGGGCATAGCTGTTATCGATCAATAGATACAGAAAAAAAACAGTGAAGGTTTTGGGTTCAACCATTTAATAATATGAATAAAAATTGATGCAGAAATTAAGACATGTTATGTTCAATAAAAATCTATACTAATTAAAAGTGCAAAAATCAATTTTGCCTGAACTAGACTAGGTTACATTATTTTATTACATTTATGAACGCGGATGGAAACAATTTTAGTAAAAAACATGTTTTTTTTTATCGTCGTCAATAGGTTCTGTCAATAAATAATAATAAAAAAAATATCGAAATCGGCTATCTTCACGTCTTGCGCATACACAATCACAGAGTAGACCAAAGCGAAAAAAAATGTCGTCAACAAGGCTGACGTAACACCGCAAAAGTACGCAAAGTCCGGTATGGGTCGTCGCATCGTAATATTATGTGCGAGTCCTAAGTCGGCGAGTTTTTTTTAAACAACATACACCAATTAACCTAGCCCCAAAGTAAGCACTGTAAGGCTTGTGTTATAGGATGCTAGGGTAACGACGGCGACGACATGGCCTCAAGGTGAATCCGATTAAGACAGAACTGGTCATGTTCACGAACAAAAGATCCTTAGGCGACTATCGGCAACCGAAACTCTTTAACACGACACTAAGGCTCTCCAATGAGGTAAAGTATCAAGCAGTAACCCTAGACTCCAAACTGAACTGGGGATCATACATAGACAAAACTGCTACGAAGACCAACATCATTTTCTGACAATGTCAGAAAATGATTAGCAAAACTTGGGGACTATCACCGTTCATTGTTAGGTGGCTGTGCACGACAATAATTAGGCCCATCATCAGCTATGCAGCAGTAGAATGGTGGACCAAGACAATCCAGGTAACGACAATTAATAATTTAAGACGTCTCCAGAGGCGGGCCTGCTGTGCAATCACTGGCTGTATGAAAACCTCTCCTGCATCAGCACTGGAGACCATACTTAATGTGAGACCAGTCCATTTATTTATACAACAGGAAGCTGCTTCTACAACCACACGCCTAAGCATGCTGGGGCTATGGAGGGTCTCTGACAGCTCTTCTGTCCTGCAGGCACTGGACATCAATATAATGACATCAGGCTTAATTTATGAATGCCACTGTAAGTTATCCAATATTTGTAATGACAATAGACTGACCTTACAATGGATTAAAGGATACAGCGGCTCAAGGGGTAACGATACGGCGGACTGCTTGGCTAGAGGAGGGTCCAGCAGGACGGCCATTGGACCGGAGCCAATTGTACCCATACCTTATCGACAGCTGAGAACCTGGATAAGGGAGCGCTGTCAACGACAACACGGCGAATATTGGGCAAAACTCACTGACTGCAGGCAAGCTAGGGAAGCCGTTCCCAAGGTAAACCAGCAGCTATCACGTAAGTTAATCAGACTACCTAGACTAGCCCTAAAACAAATCGTGGGTATACTCATGGATCACGGCTACTTCAACAAACACCTTTATAATATAGGTATTTCTGACAGCCCTTTGAGCAGAGCCTGCCTGGAGGAGGAGGAGATGAGCGCCCATGTTCTGCTGGAGTGCAGAGGCGTTGCAAGACAAAGGACTTCTTTGTCTTCTTCTTTCTGCAGCAACATCCGGGGACTGCTGAGCTTTCTGGAGGAGCTGGGATGGCAGGACTGATGACAGTCCCCACGCAAAATAGGCACTGGGTGTCGAGTGCGGAAACAGCCCGCCGTATTACTAAGACTAGGTGCTGAATATTCAAATATTGTTATTCACATTATAATGATTAACTTACCAATAACTTTGTCAGGTCGACTACTGCCAGCTGCAATTTTGGTGATTGGAATAGCACTGGTGTTTGTTGCAATAACACAATGTTTCGGTACTACTGCCTCAAGTTCCTTGATAACTTTGTGCTTAATATTAATGTCTTCAAACACAGCTTCGATAACACAGTCAACATTTTTGAATTTAGAGTATTCTAAGGTTGGCAGCAGATTTGAAATGAATTTATCTTTCTGTAAACTAAAAAAAGGATGAATATCAATATATATAGAAAATATTTTAAATGAGTTGCACTTGGTTTCAAAGGAACAAGTATTTAATAATAATAAATACTTACGCTGAAATTCTCTTTCGCTTCACAGCATTATTTAATCCAGTTTGTATTTGTCCCACTCCTCTGTAGAGCCCAGCATTTGTGGCATCTTTCATAACAACATTGTACCCTTTATCAATTGACACTTGGACAATACCCGCACCCATTAAGCCCGCACCGAGAACACCAATCTTAAACCACAACAGAAAATTTCATGTAAACTTAGCACACAATGAAGACTTCATTTATTTTTAAATACACTGTTGGCATACCGTTTTAACATCCACTTGCGCTTTGCCGAATCTGTTTTTCTTACACTCGGTCTGTCCTCTGAAGAGGCCAAATAGTCCTTTGCTCTGTGGTGTCATAGCCAGTTCCCCGAATGCTTGGGCTTCGGCTTCATAGCCTGCTTTGGGACCTTTATCAACACCTGTTCTTACCACTTCCAGGATCTGAAATATAAAATTTATTTGAGGTATTGAACTGAGGTATAAATAAAAAAATAATATAATTATTGTTTCTACCTTTAAAGGTGCTGGATATAGTCCTCTAGAGGCTTTCATAACTTGCTCTTTAGCCTTTTTGAAGATAATGTTTTTAACAAACTCCCATTGCATTATCGAGGCAGTAATTTTATTAACTAATCCTTTTTTGGATCTATCAATTTTCAGTTTGCCAGATACAATTTCTTTTGTTAATTGGATAGCTACATTTTCTAAATATTTGGCAGTATTTACTTCAGGCTGTCCGAGTCCTGAAATTGGATAACCATATTTTTAGTTTTAGTAGTTATATGTGGGTAACAGGTAATAAGGATAACTTCATAGATGGTATCATAAAACGGTAAAAACAACCCAATGAAGATGGGACAATAATACAACAAGAATGAGCAGTGGAGTTACATTAAAAGGTTCTAAGAATAGAATTAAATGCCATATTTATGATGGGTAACTCACCTGGGCCTAGGGGTGACACTAGCAGGTCTACAAGACCTAATTTCTTTGCTTTATCTGCTTTTACTGTTTTTCCAGTAAGTGCAAGGTCTAAAGTTGTAGGTATTGATGTTAATATAGGCATTCTAAAAAATATAAAATAATAATAATAACAAATATTTCTAACAATCACACCAATTGACCTAGCCTAGCCCCAAAGTAAGCAATGCAAGATATGTATTATGGGATACTTGGGTAACAGATAGAAAGAAACATATAATGTTAGAGAGATAGTGTGACTTAGGTATAAATGCATGTATTCTCCAATTATCCATACCAGGACCTCTAAGTAGGTGACTTATAGAAACTTGTGCACATACCACTCCACCATGGAGGTCAGAAAGAAATTATATTTATTGATGATTAGGGTTGCTGGTTTATATCAAATTGAAATTTTGCTATTATTTGAAAAATAATGGAATCTGGAACTGTAAAGCAGTTCTAATTAAAGAGAACAAAACCAAAGTTTTTATACCTCACAGTACCACCTGCACCAGGAAGAAGTCCTAACATAACTTCAGGAAAACCAAATCCAGTCTTTGAGTCCTTAACAGCAATGCGGTAACGACAAGCTAAGGCAGTTTCCAAACCACCACCTAAGCAAGAACCTTGTATTGCTGCTACATATGGTTTACTTGAAGATTCTATTCGCCTAAAAATATCCTGACCTAAAAAAAAATTTGAATAATGTTTTGATTGTTGTTTGTGCATTAACCTGTTAAAACTAGTTTTATTTAACAATATTGAAGTGGTCAATTCTATTAAAAGGCTTAACATTGATTTGATATGCTGCCAAATTTTTTTTTTTTATAAAACAATATGTAATTTTCAACTTGTTACTTGTTATTTTTTAAAACCTACCTCTTTTAGAGAGTGCAACAACTTCTTCTTTTGTTTTGCAACTTTCCAACATAGAAATATCTGCTCCAGCTATAAAACATCCAGGTTTAGCTGAGATTATAACTACGCCTTCAATTGCTGGATTTGAATCTACTTCATTAACAATACCATTGACTTCTTCCATAACAGCAGCATTGAGTGAATTAACCTGTATTGGGTATTAACAGTGGAAAACTTTAGACTGAGAATTTTCTACAGAGAATAAAAAATATTTACCGCTTACGTCTTTCAACTTTACCTACCTTACTATCGGGGCTGTCCAGGGTAACAACATACACTCCATTGACGATCTTGCGTTTGGTATAAACTGCATTTGCTGCTGCTGCATAGTTTCTGCTATGTAAACCTGGCAGTAAAACAGGAAAACGAGTGTTTTTTACATAAATAAACACTTTAATAAATCATATTAACTAAAGAAAGGAAATAAAAGAAGTTTTAAACTACAACTTTGGATTGTCGCGTAGGCATAACTTACCGTAGATTAATTGGATATCTTTACGGCACCTTAACAACTTTAGAGCACCAAATATCTTAGAATTTGCCATTTCGGACGCTTATGGTACTAACTTAAACTAAATATGACTAAAACAAATTCTATGAATTAAATAATTTTGGACCCAGACTTTGAACCTAAAACTTTCGTCGTGGAGGAAGGAGTCGGAGGAGGTGAAGTCGGTGGGGGGAGAGCAACCAACAGTATATTTTTAATCTCCTATTCGAGCAGGCAAAGCGATATATATTCATAGAGCCAAGATTTTGATCATATTGTGGCTATGTTGCAGTTTTATATGCATAGCTTTCTTGGAACGTTTTAGCGTTTTCGTAGCCCTGAATTCAGTAGCGTCCTTAGTCTGAGTATTTATTAAACGGGAGTAGCCATTAGCACTTCATTCCAAAATTTTCTCTCAATTCTGGCGGGGGACGAGGTACACACGTACAACAGTAACGAAAATATGCAATACTCACACAAGCACAAGCGTGTTGTTGCTATGAAAGCACACTTCAAAAATCATGTCACACAGACGAACAAACTATGCAATTGTTCGAACGTACACAAATACACAAGTTAGGGATGCGACATTAAAAGAATGAACGATATTTGAATGAACAGCTCTTGATGAATGAACAAAATGTTTGTTTATAATGAAATCAAAAAGTTTCGTTTATAAATATCTATCAGAAAGTTTATTTCTATCTTTAGTACTTATGATTTCTATCATACACAAAAAAATTATACATAAAATTCAAAGGATTTTTTAGGGAAGGCCTGTGCCCCAGCAGAAGGGACATCAATAGGCCGATAATGATGATGTATTGAGCATATTATTTGGAAAAAATTACAAGAATGACCTCCTCTGCCCCACAACATAAGTCATATATCTAGCATTTTTGCGCATTTGAAGATATTTAACACGATGTGTTTGTTCCAACTCTACAAAATTGTAACTTTTTTTGAAGTATGAAGAACTCATTTTATGCAAAAACCTTACTATTTCCAAAAGAAGAATAACCTCCTACATAAACATTAAAAAATATATACTAATACGTATATTTAAAATTATTTTTAAGCCGTTATGCCATAATGTCGAATAATATAGTAAATTCAAATTAATCAGAAAACAAGGGTGCTTAAAATATATTTTTTAATAAAAAAAATTAAATAAATCTAAAATTCTGTTTAGTAAAGGGACAAAGCTATTTCGACATCCGGGACCCTTTAGATATTCTAGAGTGGATAAATTTTTCCAAGAATTGGTCCCGACCGTTAAAGTATCTTTGTTATTTACTTGACTAGATTTTGGACTACAAAGATTCGTTCTTTCTTTTTTGTTTTCATTTAAATTTACTTTTTTAATCAGGCGTCATCGTTTTTTTCAAATAAAGTTAGTATTAATATTTGTCGAATTTATAGTTTAAGGTGGAGCTGATTACGAATACTATATTTATCTCGAGATTCGAGATTATTATTAATGTTCCAGATTTCAGGACTCTGCCGTCGTAAGGCACTGTAGTCACTGCAGCTTAACAGATTTATTTTTGTGTCTCGACATCACGTTAAAGTTCTTATTTGTTTTAGCCAAACAGCTTCCAAGGCTCCAAGTTTCTAGAGATTTAATTTCCTCTAGTTGTATTATATGTCGTCTCAATTGAATCGATACTACATTTTTTGAACTGTGTTTTTAAATACTCTAAGGACTAAAAATAATCAGTTAAGATAAAAGTCCTAAAATTACTGCCCATGCAGGATCTAAATAATATTATTTTTTATATCCTAGATTATAAAGAAATTCGAATTGTAACAGCTATGAACAAACGCTCGCGAGTATAACGTAATCGTTATTTTTTTTTCGCGACACATAAAACTATTATAAATAGAATCTAGGACCTCGTGTGATGGTGATTACCTCTTAATTTGACATTAAAAAGCTATTTGAGTACACCAATTACCGAGGTTATAAAAGCCGCTCGATGTAGGCAGCTGCCCTAATAACTAACTACTTAATTTGATTTACTTTCTTCTATCTATACGCTATTTACATCAATGTATTGCCCATGAACAAATATACCGATAGACCAACAAACAAATTAAAAAGTATTAAGTTCATTTTGGTGCCGATTCTGGCATAATTATCTAAAGCTTAAATTTTTAACAACAGTGTTGTCGATTCTGGCATGATTCTCTTAAGCTAAACTTAAATTTGACAACAGTCTTTCATTATACAGAATGAAAAGGACTAACTGATGTTAAATTTAGTTTTAAGTTTAATGAATCCTGCTAGAATCGACACCAGTGTATCCTAGTCATTCTCTATACAGGAAGAAAAGGAGAGACTGATGTTAAAATCGACAACTATGTATTTCTTACAATTTTTATGTGGCTATTTACTTGTATCGATATCAAGTACTTTTTTATACATATTATCATATTTCAATTTCGAAAGAAAGATTTTGTTTGGTTAAGTTCTCGAATCTTATATGTTCGTTTTTTATAAATCTATCCATGTTTAATTGTTTTAACAACTCGCTATTCATATCGGCAGATGCACTTAATTTTAATCTGGTTAAGTTTTCCAGTAATAAAAGTACCATTCTATCATTTCATTCACTTTTTCTCACATCACTATTAATTTCTACCTATTATTTTTGTCATTCCGCGCCTTTTCTTTTATATGAATTTTATAGTAGAATACTAACTTTTTAGTAATTAAAAATACTTGTTTATAATAGGAAACACCAAGTTTCAGCAGGATTGAAGTGGTATATTACTACTTATACTACTTGGTAGAACGGTAACTGAAATAATTTAAAGCTTGATTGTATGATGTATGTAAAAATATAACTAGTTTTCCTACCACCATTAATGTGCTTATTTCTATCCATTTTATCCTTGTATTTCATATACATAAGATTGCTTTAAGAGCCCTTTCACATTTATTGCAAAAATCGTAATTTTTGAGCGCCTCATTTACCACCTTAGAAATAAGTTGACTATTTCCAATAGAAGTAAACAGTAGATTTATTCTTCCTATTGAAAGTTAATGTAGAATATTTACAAATACTATCTTCCTTTTTTTGTGCTGATCGTTCTAGCGCAGCTAGTTTACGGAAAAAACGATAATATGCACAATTCAAACGCCTGAATCTCTCAATAGTGTTTAATAAATTAGATCAAATTAATTACTACGGCATCAGAAATATGTTTTTGTTGTAACATAATGTATTAGAATCTTGATTTTCCATCTTACTAATTATTAAAAAAAAAATCTAACCTCCGTGAGTTTTCCCAAAAAATAATGCAGGTTTACCTCGTATTTTGATATTGAATTAAATAGAATTTCTATCAAAAACTATTATGAAATCTGCAATCATTGAACTACTGAAATATGTATATATTTTTATAATAAGTGCATAAAGTTTCGAAACATCACCCGTAAAATGCAATATAACTAGTGCAAATATACGCGCCGATCGATTAGCACGGCGCGCCGGCGTCTTTCGACGTAAGTAATACCGGCCATACACACTACGAGAAATCGTTACGATTAGACTGTACAGTCCGAACGGTACCGATAAATCGTAGAGTGTATGTTATAAAACTGCACAGTTTCCTATACTAAACGAAATCGTATAAACTGTTCCGTTCGAACTGTACAGTCTGATCGTAACGATTTCTCGTAGTGTGTACTTAGTGTGTATGGCCGGTATAATGTGTACCGTTTTGTACCGTACGCGTCCCAAATGATTCGTCGTGTGCATTTATCGTAAAACTGGCTGGATATACTTCAACTGCAAAAGTTTGATCGTTGACTGTATGTAAGTTTTTACAACCGTATTAATTTTTATTGCTGTAAGTACCTACCTAGTTATTTATTATCGTTGCGTCTTAGACGAAGAAAAGTATAGACGGTGGATAGCTCCATTTCATTTGCACAAGAAAGGGATATAGTATTCAGTTATTATATGTAACAGAAAAGGACAAAGCTATACTATTTCCGTCTCTCAGTGCGTGCCAGTTTTTTCAAGGCCAGCAACTTATGTAGCTCCACGGACCTGAAAAAAAGACGGACGTAACCTCGTCTTATCTCGAGTGAAGCATGCAAATGGCCCCCCGCTTACAGCGTGTGCGTGATTTTAGGGTTGTCGGGTAAATCATCAATTTCCCTACTTTTTAAATCTTCCAAACTAAAACATTGTTAACATTATGTAATCAAATATATATTATAAAAACGGGATATTTACCACGTGTTTTACTCGTTGTGAGCTCCTGATTTTTCAGCAATTTAAACGGTTGCACTTCAGAAACATGATGTAGGTCTATCAAATTAATTTTTAGGAACACCGAGATAGAGAAGGAAGCACTTGTTATGTAAAAAGAACTTTATTGTTTACATATAAATGTTAGTGTCTTAATATTAAGTATGAGGTTAATAACATACATTAATATACATAAATCGCGCAGATTAATGCTTAAAATAAAAATATAATAGACTAATATTACTATTTCTTCTTTCAAATGTAAGTATTTCATTCATAGATTGAGTAGGTATTTAAAGACTGACAGAGTGAGGAAAAGAGATAGGTATCATGCCAATCCTGTAACGTAGAAAGAGATGCAACATGATGTACCTTTCGTCTAATAATATATTTTTTGCAAGAGCCGCAACGCCCTGTCAAGTCGTACTGAGATAAAATTTATTATGAAATTCTGTGAAACTAAGAAAACAATAATGCATCTAATAATAATAATAAATAAATAAATATAACACAACACAAATGTCCTTATAACAAACTGAATAAGCATGTGTTATGGTATCCTGTGTTTTAAGCATATCTTGATAAATCGACAATATCACTCGGCATGAAACACCGATACGCACACATATTTTATGGAACAGTAGCGATAGGTACTCTGTCTATCTTTACATCCTATATCTACGGTTTCATTTGACATCATGGTTTACCTAAAATGCGAAAAAATGGCCCTACCGTGCAGCCTAAGAAATACAAGAAGAAATTCGTCACGATCATTAAGTTCTCGGTAGCATATCAATTAGGGAATCCACCCAGACAGCAGAAAATGCAGGTTCAAGTCCTGCCTGTAATTCATTTTGTAATAATTTTGGTTATCGTAATTTAGTTTCAAAAGTTTATTTGTATAGTAGTTCT